CAACACCAACTTGAAACGGGGCAACTCAATTTTGGAGAGGTCCGGATTAACCATGTTGATGCCTACCACGTTGGAAAATGGGTCAGTGTCCACCAACATGGCATCCTTCTTTGGTTCCGAGAACTTGATACGCCCCTTCTCAATAGCATCCTGCAAGATATTACGGAAAACCACACATGAGTCAGTGGCATGTGACATGCTGTTATGCCACTTACAATACTTCTTTCCTTTTAATTTCTCGGGTGGTGGGATGTTATGCCCCCCTGTCAACTTGATTTGACCATCCTTGTAGAGTTGGTCAAAAATCAAGTCCGCTTTGGAGATATCGAAGGAATACCTCCGTGGCTGGATAGGGGCACGATTTGGTCTACCCCCTTGTGGTTCGTTGTCCATCTTAGCTAAAGGAGCACATACATATGGCTTCCCTGGAGTTAACTCAGCCAGGTCTACCTCCACCTCATTGGCCTCTTGGCCAATATGGTTAATAGGGTAGCCGATGTTGGGGAAGTATTGCCCCCTTGAGGCACTCCTCCTATTCTCCTCTTCTTGAAGAAGAGATTCATATCTCACCGCACAAGACATGAGTTGGAACAAATCAGAGAATTCTCTATCTTGGAATTTCTTTCTTAACTCAAAACTCAACCCCCCTTGTGCTAACTTGACAAACTCTCTCTCTGTCAAGTTGACAAAACAACGGTTACGAGCATTCTTAAAGTTTGTCAAGAAGTGCTCTACTGACTCCCCTGGCTCTTGGCGCATTCGTGCCAAATCAGCCATGGAAACCTCACGCTCAGATCTATAGAACTGAGCATGGAAGATTTGCTCCATCTGTTGCCATGTTTGGATGGAGTTGGATGGCAAATTGACATACCAGGCAAAAGCAGGTCCTGTCAATGAGTTTCCAAATACTCTTAACTTAATAAAATCTCCCACATCCCCACACTGGACAGTAAAACGTCCAATGTGCTCCACAGTAGACTGGTCCCCTGTCCCAGTGAATGTGGCAAACTCGGGCACCCTAAACCCCCTTGGGAATGGGTAGAGTCTATCCACCCACTCAGGGTATGGTTTTCGATAAACAGGTGGCATGGTGGGTCTCACTCCCATGCCAAATTGCTCGGCAAGAAGTTGAGCCACCTGATCCCTTAAAGTGTTGGGATCATGCCCCCCTGGTTGCCCTCCTTGGGGTACGAAACCCATGGGGTCCATGCCATGCCCATTGAAATGGGGTGGCATGGGTGTTGGGTATGCTCTCGGAGGAACTTGATCCCCCCCACCTAAGCCTACTCCCCCTCCCATGTGAGCAGGCACCGTATAGGGCCGTGCCATTGGTATGGGTATGGGTGGCGGTTCCACTGGAGCAGAATGTGTAACTGCCAAATTCTCACCACGTGGGGGAATTTCTCCAACTCCCACATTGGGTATCCCTTCCACTTGAGTAGTGGCAGGAATCTCGCCGCGATTCATGCGGTGAGTAGTTGGTTGGTTTGTCATCGGCGGAAAGAGGTTATCTTGCCGTGGCTGACCATTTCCGCCGCCGGCGGGAGATGAACTTAAATTTCCGGAATTGCTATTGGGGTTTGAATTCCCGCCATCTAATGGCAGAGCTCTAGATTGGATTATTGGTGTGGTTAAAAATCTTCTAAACTCATCAAAATCACTTTTGTTCTTATTAACCACTTCAAATAATTGACTTAGACGTCTATCAACTCTAGAATTAAGACAGTCCATTTGAGAATTTACCTGATGAGAAGCTGCTCTAGCCTCCACCATCATTTGGCGGTTCTCCTCTGTGGCTTGACGGTTCTCTGCCACCAGTTTGCGGTTCTCCTCCATTATTTGACGAAGGACCCCCACTGCTTCACCAATATCTCCACTTGGCGTCGCCGTTGGTAGGATCTCCGCCCCACCATTGTTTCCGGCCACCGCCTCTGACACTTGGCCATGTTCAATGTTGGCCACGTGCTCCTCCACAAAACCAGCCGGAGCGTCACCTTCTTGATTCCTCCGCCTCGGAGCCATCAAATCGAACACACGTGTCCCACCAGGTATGCCAATTTGTTTTCCCGGCGAGAAAAATGAAGGAAAGAGAATTGGATTTTGCACCTTTGACTTCCAAACAAACGATCAAACAACACAGTTCACACCTCTTTGAACAAAGTTCAAACAAGGTTGTTCAATGTTTTGATGAACTACGAGGCAAATCTACATTAAATTAGCCCTACTCCTATGGAGGTTCAGTGAGAGCTCCAAAAACTACGACTATGGCTAAAATCTGCAGAGGAAAAGATAAAAGATAAAACTTGACAAGTGGTGTCGAGTTGTGATTTTTGCGAACCCCCTCTCTGTAATCTTCACCTCCTATTTATAGCCACCAGAAGTAACTGCTCCAAGAAACTGTTCTGCTGACGTGGAGTGACGGTTACCCACTCAACTGCTATGACGGTTACCCTGATGTTGGATGTGGGATTCTCTTCAGCCTTGACCCCTCCTCTTGAGACCTCACTTCATGCTCTTGGCATCTCCTTCGTAGTTTTGCTTATCCATAGAGTAAAAATGGCTAAGACATAAAGAAATACCACTTACCACATATGGGTGGGTATTTGAATAACAGTAGTTAAAAATGGCAAAAAGTACTTCACCATTAGTAGAGTAAAGAGACCACCTCACACATGACCCCCCTGCCTTGGCCCTACCATGGGGGTGTACATTGGTGACCCCCTCACCATACCATTGGGGGCATCCTCCATGGAGGTCATATAGATCACCCCTGCCACTATATCCTCCTCATGGGAGCCGCCACATATAGGGTCATGGGGGTGCTCCTTCCACCCTCATCATCTTCCATGTCATGGGGGTGGCGGTATGATGCCCACCCCCCTTGCCACGTCTGGGGGTGGTATGATGACGGCCACCCCCTTTGCCACGTCCTGGGGGTGGTATGATGGCCACCCCCCTTGCCACGTCCTGGGGGTGGTATGATGCACACCCCCCTTGCCACGTCTGGGGGTGGTATGATGATGGCCACCCCCCTTGCCACGTCCTGGGGGTGGTATGATGCCCACCCCCCTTGCCACGTCTGGGGGTGGTATGATGATGGCCACCCCCCTTGCCACGTCCTGGGGGTGGTATGATGCCCACCCCCCTTGATACCTCTGGGGGTGGTATGATGATGGCCACCCCCCTTGGTACCTCCTGGGGGTGTCTACCATACTCCATGTCTTAGCCAAATTCGGCAATCACCCCCATCACCATGTCATGGGGTGGCGGTATGATGTCCACCCCCTTGCCACGTCCTGGGGGTGGTGGTATGATGCCTACCCCCCTCTACGTGTCATGGGGGTGGCTCCCATACTTAGCCAAATTTGGGGATGCATTGCACGCGTGGTGGCACGGAGTAATGGGCCCAAAAACCAAATCCTCATGGCCCACTCAACTGATTTAAACTGATATGATTAAGTTGGCCTTATAAAGCCATTTAATTCCTTGTTTTCAACCGATGTGGTACAAGGTTAATTTTTGGTGTAAACACAAGCAAAAGCAATATTGTGTGAGATACATTTAAATTGGACAATCCTCCTATAATATATAGTACACTTTTGTGTACTTTTCTCCATTTTGAATTTTATGCTCTCTGCTTAAGTTTAGGTAGGGATATGATGATAATTGACATAATTAAGAATTAAAAAGATATATTTATATAAAAAAGTAGACGTGGAAGTTTTCATTTGTACCATATTAATATATATTAGTGTTTCAGAACCATAACAACATAGTATCACTATATCAGTTTTGACACCTGAAAGGTCATGGTATAAATTTATATCATAATGATATATTTACATAACATCCATGTACATGATACTTTTAAGTGCATGAAGAAATTATTGGTGTCGTAACAAATTTTATTTTAAAATTTACAAAAAGTTCATATAAATGTGTTATCACAATTAAGTTGAATATATTGGATAACACGGAAAGAAATTAATCAAGTAGGCTAGTGCTCGGAGCGACAAACTCAGAAATAGAGATATTGAAGATGTTTGTTTTAGCTTAATGTTAAGATATATACTCATGTGCTTAATTGTTATTAATTGTTTTGAGATTTACTTCTTACAAAGCAAATATTTTGGTTTTTTACTACTTTCATATCTTAGGAAATTACCAACAGTATATTTCATTTACTAACAAAATACTAAGTTTATTCTAAGGAATATTTTAATGGTTGCATCTCATATATTTTGGGCTACGTGATGTTATAGTGTAAAGTTTAATGTTAAGAGTTCAAGAATTAATAGTTTAGACTATATGATTTCACTGTATTGACTAGTAATAGTATAGGGTGCAGCAAATTTCATTGAGTTCTTGGGGTATAGATTGAGATAAGAAAATTTGGAATATAATTTTTAAGAGGATGTTTATCATAATTATTCTTCAAAAAAATTTCTTATTTGGAGTTTGAAAAATTGGGTTCAAAGGTTCATGTATTATATGTAGGCTCTGAGTGGATAGTATAATTTAGACATGTATTATTCTTTCTCAAAAGATAGAGTTGAGAGTTAGTGTTTAAAGGATAATATTGATTTTGTCTAAGTTTTTTGTTTTGTTTACGATGCGATTTTATGGTTGGATAACATAACTATTGTTCAAACATTTATTTAGTTTTCATGATTTAATTTAACTTCGAAGATGACTAATGATATTAAAAGATATAAACTATAGATTAATAAAAAAATATGTAAAAATTATTTTGTTATACTCACTTCAACTTAAAATTCCGGCCAAATGGCCGGGTCAAGAGCTAGTATATAAAAATTGGAGGAATGTTATTGTTGAGTGTTTTTATAAAATATTGTCAATGAGTTAACAACACTATTGATTGACAAATTCTGATGAATGGGATAGAGGCACGACCCAAAATCACGACTGGCCGGGAAATCTCAGATGGATGTTATAGCTAAAGAAAATCTAACCGGCGTGCTTTTGGCATTGGTGTCTAGTGGATTCATCGGGGCTAGCTTCATCATCAAGAAGAAAGGTCTCAAGAAAGCCGCTGCCACCTCCGGTGTTAGAGCAGGTGATTTGCTTTTCCCTTTTGGTAAATTTCATTTCTCTTCGGTCGCGTTTAGAGAAGTTTCCTTGCTCATCTAAACTATAAATTCCGCAGGTGTTGGTGGGTATTCTTATCTCTCAGAGCCTCTATGGTGGTTTGGCATGATTACCAGTAAGTTTCCCCCTTTTCGTCAGTTCCTTCTTCTCTGCTTCATGGGATTGACTCCATTGAATTTGTTTGGTTATTCTTGGGTGAAGTTTGATAATTTGAGAGTATTTGATTGTGGATTGTTGGATCCAGTGATTGTAGGAGAAGTTGCAAACTTTGTTGCATATGCATTTGCTCCGGCTGTTCTGGTTACTCCACTTGGTGCACTAAGTATCATTGTTAGGTGACATATTTCATTCATTTAAGTATTTTAGATTTTTTTTGTTTTGGTAAAAATTAATCATTTGGAGTTTGGATTTATGGTCATGTACTTGTAGTGCTATCCTTGCACATTTCCTCTTGAATGAGAAGTTGCATGCTCAAGGAGTTGTGGGTTGTGTAATGTGCATTGCTGGATCCGTTGTAGTTGTGATTCATGCACCAGAAGAGCACCCAATCAATTCTGTTCTTCAATTGTGGAATATGGCAACTCAACCCGGTAATTACTTCCCTTAAATTCTTTCCATCTTTTATGCATGTTTACTCTGTTATTCACTAACCCAACTGTCCTCTTCTTGTAGGTTTTTTGTTTTATGTTGCCTCAGTGATTGTGTTGGTTTTCATTCTTGTCTTCCTTTACGCTCCACAATATGGGAACTCAAATGTGTTAGTTTTCACCGGCATTTGTTCGTTGATGGGTTCTCTATCGGTAAATCATTTCAACTAGTGTTGGTACTTTGATATCTTTTGTGTGCTAGCTTTATGTTTAATCTCCAGCAATAATCACAACTTGAAAAGAACAAAAAAACATTTTGCAATATAATATATACTTGTTTGAGCTTCTGTGTTAACTATTAGTTGTAATGATGTTGATTGTGGAATCAAGTTCATGTGTTGCAAACAATCTTATATGATATGTTGGAGTGAGTTTCATAAGGTGACTTTCTACTATGGAATAATAACTACTAAAGCTTAATTGTTCCATTTTAGAGTTGTTTTTGTTTTGTGCTTATCTTTCAGGTGATGAGTGTCAAAGCACTTGGAACTGCTTTAAAATTGACTTTCGAAGGGAAAAATCAACTGCTTTACTCAGAGACATGGTTCTTTACATTCGTTGTGGCCATATGTGTCATCACGCAAATGAATTATCTCAACAAGGTGAATTGGACTGATTGAAGGAAATAAATACTTAATTTTATTATTCATTTATATTCCTTTAACTTCGTAATCTTGCTTTTATCCTCATAATCATGTGCTAAAATAATGACACACTTAAAGTCATAAGTATGTAGGCTCTTCCAGGTTAATTGAGATCACTTTGGAACACTATTACTTACACTGTACATGTCGCTGGTTCTTTACAATATTGTGGTATGCTTATTTGGCAATGTAAATGGTGAAAGTTTGAACTAGTTTTAGTTCTGCATAACTGCTGGTGATATCTGCTTAGATTTCAAGCCCTCGGATACCTTACCACTTTGGTATTTTGGCTTCTCAAAGTATAATTTTGGTTAAAAAGTGGAGTTCCTAAAATTGGGTGTTCAAACATAATGTTACCGTCAAATATAATCAAGTTTAGGGACATTCAATGAAAAGGGACTTTCATATTTTTCTTTTGAAGAGAGCTTAGACATAAGTACTGCTGATTCAAAGGGAAAGAAGAAGTATCGCCAGATTAAAATAGCACTATTGATGATAAATTATCCAACAGGAGACTCAAGTGTCCTATTGAGCTACATGACGCTTTGTGAAGTTGATGTCTTAAATTAGTTTCACCAATTGTACTTTGCTAATAGAATGCTTCTGCTTTTCCAGGCTCTTGATACATTCAACACTGCAATTGTGTCTCCAATTTATTATGTCATGTTCACTTCACTTACAATTCTTGCTAGTGTCATCATGTTCAAGGTGCATCTCCATTTACTATGACTTGATCCATGTCCTTAAAAATTCGGATCTATACTTGTATTTTCAGACAAGTAGTTAACTATACATCTTGTTTTGAAATTAAGAACCAACATTCAATGTTTTGTTTCAGGATTGGGCTGACCAGAATGCAGGAAATGTGATATCAGAAATATGTGGCTTCATTGTAGTACTCTCTGGAACCATCCTGCTACATACTACTAAGGACTTCGAAAGGAGTTCATCATTTAAAGGTTCACATATAGTTCTCTGACTCTCCTGGATTTCCTACTTAATTTAACTTCTTTTATTTTTATCCTAAACTAATTGTGCAATATGCCCTTTAAAATTCAGGTGGCTATGCATCATCAATCAACTCTGGAGGCTATGCACCTTTATCTCCAACATTAGCTACTCGGCTCTACAATGGTAGCAGTGAATTTACCACACATGATGAAGAAGATGCAATGCTTGCTGACCAGATATCCTTGCAAAGACAAGGGTAGCATTAGAAGCCCCATGCTTTTGAAGAAGGCTTCATGCTTTGATTTAGTTAGATATGCAGCAACTACTTGCAATCCAACGACCTGGCAGTGGCACTGACCTATCTCTGGAAATTTTTAGACAATGCAGATTGTGTTTGAGGTAACGTGATTTAATCAAGTGATTGCTTGCCAACTTAGAGTGGTATGGGTTTAGTAGATCAATCGAAGGTTATCATCTTCAATTTTTTTTTTTTTGCATGATTCCCATGTGCAGCCGCTGCAGGATTGTGATGTCACAAGAAATATAGTTCTATGATTCGAATTTGTGGACTTCTGAAGATGATGGTGGGGGAGCCCTTACATTGTTTCTCTAAACTTCCAAAAGAGAAATGAGAAGCATGTAAGACATTGTTGCTTTACCATCCAGCTTTGCGTGGGAGCTTATTACAACATTTGTTTCTCTAAGGTTGGTAGGTTTCACATTATCATTGTTTTGTTGTTATAATATTTGAGTTTGTATGCAAGCATTAATTCCAAAATTATATGACGAGGCCAAGCTGTAGCATTGTTTGGAAAGTCGATCATAAGTGCGACATTTATCATTTTACAAACTTTGGTACTCCAATTATGTAATACTATTGAGAACAAATTCTTAAATGTCCCTTAGTTGAATGGGGATCATGCCAACGATAATATTATCGTGCAAATTCTTACATACTCTTATAGTTGAACCGAGACATGAATTACCAATACCTCTTCTTAAAGACTATTAACTTCATATGTTTGCATTTAAAAAGGAGGTTCTTGGTCATCTTGTAAAGAAAACAGACTCATAAGTCTCCTTGATCAATAATCAAAGGGTCAAAGAGTTCATCCTTGCGTGATCTTTAAATACGAGACTTCATTTATATAGTCAAGTCAACATGCCTAGAAGCAATTAGAACGCCAATTGTGTTGTTCAATCTTCTTATACCCAATGTTATACAAATCATCAAGATTTAAGTACATAGTTTCTGCCGAGTTCCGTGTAGGGCGGCAAACGAGTCAAGCTGGATACGAGCGGCTCGACATTCGGTTTGGGGAAAAAAAATATTTCGACGCTCAGCTCATTTACTTACAGTGGAGCTTGAAGTAAGCCTTGTTCGGCTTGTAAGGCTCGTGAGCAAGCTCGACGCAATAGCTTATGGAGCTCGACTAATGAGCTAACTTGTTTTAAACTATGTGTTGGGTTAATAGTATGGCTAGCGAGCCACCTCAATTAGTAACTTATGAGCAAATCGATTAATAACTTATTATTGCTTTGTTGATAATTTATCATTGGTTTGTTGGATTATATATATCTCACCACATTTGATGTTTAAGAATTTGATCACGTGATAAAGTAAGAGAAACTATATTTCATAGATTGCTCACATACTGATTACTATTAAATAACATGATATCAGCAACTAAATTTATGAACAAAATGAAAAGATACATTAGCTTGAGTCGAAATGGCAAAAAGACCCAATATCAATGTTTCTAACAATCCGTCTTACTTGTGACACCTTCAAGTAACGGATTTTTGTTTAGCTCCGGAGCATACTCAAAATTTTCGAAAGAAAAGGAATAACTTGCTCAAACAAACTGAAATAACACTGTTCTCCAATCACAAATACTGAAAGTAAACTGTCATACCTTAAAATAAACTCTAACACTTTGGCAAACCTTAAACCGTAAAATCTTAATCTCCACTCTTACTCATACACGTTAAGCATTATAGCCTACGCGACTGCTTATTGGGATACGTTTTTTTACATCTTCAATGACACTCGTATGGTGCTCCTCTAGCTGGTTGCTCTCTAGTTGGTTGATTTCTAACTGGCTTCTCCTTTGGTCCTTCTCCACGCCCTAGTGAGTGGGTTGGGGTCAATCTACGTCGTTACCAAAAGCGTCAAAGCGCTAAAGTTGTTTTCACTTAAATTTCTCCTTAAAACGGTGGAAGTTGTTATTACTTCCATCCTTTAACTTGAACACTCAATATGTGGGTCTTGTTGTTACTAGGGATGGCAATGGGGCGGGTTTAAGGCGGGTTTGTTTAAACCATCCCCATCCCCATCTTCAAATATCCAAACCCATACCCGCCCCATACCCATGCGGGGGAATGTTCGGCAAACCCATCCCCATACCCGTGGGTTTCGGGTACCCATGGGTAATACCCGTACCCGTACATCCAACACTATTATCCAAAAATTTACAAGAAAAGTTTTAACTACAACTCTAAACATACCTATTATATCACGAATTCAACAAAACACGATCATTTTCTTAATATGGTTCAAAGAATATGATCCTAAAACATTCATTAATACATAATATAGAGTATAATATTTTTCAAATTATTATGTTCTAACTCTTATACATCTACTAAGTAATAATTAACTAACATAATCTTGTTGACAAGGGGGAAAGTGAAAGAGTGAAAGGAGAATTGAGGGAAATGAATTAGGTTTTGATTAAAGTGGTCACTCAATTGCATTTCTACTATTTATTTCCTTGAGTTATCCTCGTCACCATTGATAGATTACAATTTGATCCACATGTTTTTGTATATGTGAAGAAATTCTCTTGGTGGGGCGGATATGGGTATGGGGCGGGGGAGGCTAAAACCATACCTGCCCCATACCCATCAAACTTTTTGCGGGTTTTAACCATACCCGCCCCATACCCGGTCAAAGCGGGGATTACCCGCGTTGACTGGGTCGGGGGCGGTCGGGTACCTGCGGCCATGGGTTTGATTGCCATCCCTAGTTGTTACTAGCCACCCTAAAAAACTTAAACCTTTTACTGACTTAGGGTTCCCATCATTATCTATTCTAGTTGCCCAACTCATAGGGGTGTTCAAATGGTTACCGTGGTGATAACCAAACCAATTAAACCTAAATTTCATTAACCATGGAATAAAATGTTTTAACCAAACCGTCCAAATTAACACGAAAACCAAATTAACCAAACTAAAATTTAATTGGTTTAGTTAATCGGAATAACCAAATAACATAACATTGCATAAAAACAATTAACCTGTTAATGAATAAAACATAACCATATGTTGTTACTATCATAATCTATCATTATATATAAGCAATAATAATAACACTAACCATCCATGATTATCATCATCATTCGAGTTAATACATCATTCATCATCTCTGCACCTAATTTAGTTAGCTTACAACAAACCCCTTAACATAAATACTTACTAATATCCCTCATCAGGAAGTTAAAACTCTCCTACAAAACACTTAAACTATACATAGTTTGAGATGGCTATCATGGTATTGTACGTATCCTAAAGTCTAGTAGCTATCCAAAATATTTTGGTTTAGTAAATAGGCAGACCCACTTTTATTTCTTGAACCATATTATATTGGTTTATTGTGCACATGGAAATAAAATAGGGAATCAAGGAAGTTCGGTTTGTTTGTTGCATGAAAGTATAAATAATTTTGTATATTAGGTGTATCATTAATTGGTTAATTGGTTTCATTGGTTAGCAATGTTGAAACCAAACCAAACCACCTAAACCAAATAAGCTAAATTGTTTAACCGAACCAAACCAATTATCCAAATAACCAAACCAAATTAACCGAATGTTACTGGTTAATATGGTTACCACGGTAACCAATCCGTTTGAACACCCCTACCAACTCATATGTATGAGGGCCTACTTAGGCTTATCCTTGTCCTTATGGAGGTCTTATTGATTCATCCTTATAAACCTTAAGAGCATTGTGAGCCTTTTCTTGAAACTTTAACTAGGGCAGGAGACTGGCCTTAGTGAACTACCTCTTAACCTTTTCACCCTAACTTATATAGCACGATGAAGTACTACTAATACTTGCTCTTAAAGGTCGTCATAGATACTTTAATAGTAAGACATAAACTTAACTGCTTTAAAGTAGATATTGAAAGATCATAATTGATTGGGGACAGGTTACGGTGGTTACTATAAAATAGTAATCACCGTGGTTACTAAGGGCAAACTGGGTATGCCAAAAAAATTATTAATTGTCTTTTTTAACAAATTACATTTTAGGAAGTTACAAAAATATATTAATTACAATTCTCTCTCTCTTTCTCTCACTTCCACAATCTTTTCCTTATTTTCGTTCCAATACCGCTGCAACAATAAAACAATACCAAACTATTAAAAGAACACTACCAATGCATAAAATACCAATACCATTCATGAAATAAAAACACTACCATTTCACAAAACACCAATACCATTGCAGATTTATCAATATCACTACATGCAAATCAATACCATTACATGATAATCAATACCAATGCAAAAAGAAAAAGAAAATAATACCAATGTGAAAAACACTACCGGTACAAGAAAAATACCATTTCGCTGAAAAGCAATACACTTAAATGATAATCAATACCAATGCGGAAAAAAACAATACCAATGCAAAAAAACACTACCATTACGAAAAAATCACTACCAATGCGGAAAAAACAATATCAATGCGAAAAAACACTACCACTACGGAAAAATCACTACCAATGCGGAAAAAACACTACCACTACGAAAAAAACACTACCAATGCGGAAAAAAAAAATAGATCTAGGGTTTTTATTCATCCCACCTTTTCAATACCAATGCAAAAAAACACTACCATTACGGGGGAAAAATACTACCAATGTGAGAAAGTACATACCAATAAAAAAGGGATTGCTAATTGTCGCCCTAACTTAACTCTCATCGCCCTAACTAAAAAAGTAATAAGACTTTTTTATCCTTTTCTTTTTAATTAACTCCCAAATTTTACTTAGATGAACGAGTGGTTAAACTCGTGGTTAACAGCCACGCGCGCCGGAGAGCAGAGGAAAAACAAAATTTGTTCTGTCTCTCAAAGGCTCGAGCATTTTTCTACCCTCGTTTCAACCATGGTGGACTAGATTAATCTCTGCTTGTTTTGTTCATTTACCCCCACAGGCCACATCCCCTCTGTCCCTTTTGCTTTCTTATGCAACGCTAGAACACTACCAGTTGACCAGCGACATGGAGCTCATGATCACGGATACTTCCTCGGCGGCTCTACTTCCACTTCTGTTTTGGAGACCGCCAGCGAATTATGCAGTGGAAATCCTTTGACTGAGTTGGTTGGTACCGTAGGTTCAAGGATTCAGTCGACATCCCCCATCTTCTTTTTGGTTGACGTTTGTTTGCTTCTACCAAGATTCAAGGTTGCGCGCAGCTTTGTGTAGCAGGAAGGATTCAACGGCGGAGAGAATGAACAACGACGGAGTGTGAGGAGGATGTTGAAGGAGGATTAGGGCTTTGCGGGTTTGATTATTTTGTTGAATTCAAATTAATTAATGAAGGACAATTCAGTAATTCGATAATTTAAGTTAGGGCGATATTAATACAACTAGGGCGACGTTTAGCCATCCAGATAAAAAATCAGTCGACAGCCGTCTGAAGTAGGGTTTGGTTGGAGGGAGGGGAGTGTAGAAGTAGGGTTTGGGTAGAATAATCCGGTGTGAACTCTTTTTCGTTTCCAAAATTACCCTGACGTAATCTTAAACATGAGATTAAAAAAATGAAAAAAAATAAAAATGAACGGCAGATAATGATGTAGCCACGATTGGCTACTAGAATTTTAGTTACCAGCTTACGCATTCCTAATTGAATGGCTCT